CCTCCTGGGGATGTGTTGGAGGCCCCATTGTGACTTGATTTACCTAGGTTCTGATGTTCTAGACCAGGGTCAGCAAACAGTGAGCCAAATACATCCTGCTACCTTTTTTTGTCAATAAAGTTTTATTGGAACACAGCCATACCCATTCACTTACCTGTTGTCTGAGGCAGCTTTCACACTATGATGGCACGGGTGAGTAGTTGCAACAGGGACTATATGGCCTGCAAAGCCAAAGTATTCGCTAGCTGGGCCTTTGTAGAAAAAGTTTGCCAATCCCTGTTCTAGACCTGCTCAATAGCAAGTGGAAAGTTTGGGGTTTGGACCAGGGACCAGCCCACAACTCAGGGGCCTGAGAAGTTGGAGGACCCAAAGACAGTGACCAAGACTAAACAAGAACAGTATTAATAAGGTGAGAGATGATGATCCTGGTGTCTGAACCCAGACTATCCAGCTCCTGAGGCTGTGCTCTTAACCACAAGCCACTCTGATTGTTGGAACAGCAGAGAGGGGACCAGAGTCAGCCAGATGCCAGCAGGTAGGGGCTCCCAGAGACATAGGGATCTTTCACGGGGTGGCAGTGTCCTCCCCCACTGTGAGGCCAGACAGACCAAGCAGGAGGCTGCCTACCATGATGGCACTGGGCTCATTGGCCATTCTTCCCTTTGCCTCTGGGCTCTGGAACACCCCTTCCTCCCTCATTCTGCTTGCATTTCCTCACCAGTCTGGCTCTTAATCACTGTTAAAGTAGTGCTTCTCAAACTTGAATGTGCACTCAGATCACCTGGGGACCTTGTTAAATTGCAGATTCTGATTCAGGAGGTCTGGGGTGAGGCCTGAGACTCTGCGTTTCTAACAAGCTCCCAGGTGATGCTGATGATGCTGGTCCATGGACCACACCTAGATGATATCTTCTCTTAGACTTTCCTGATCAATCCCCCACCCCCACTCCATGCCTCAATTCTGGGGCACCCTAGTGCTTACCTCCAGTAGAGTTCTATCACACTGTACAAGGGTACTTCAAAAAGTTGATGGAAAAATTCATTTTGTCTTTTAATTTTATATTTCCACAAACTATTTTAAGTACCCTAGTGTTGTAATAATTTGCTTAGGTCTTCCTTAATGCATAGTGAGCTTCCCAAGGATGGGGATGAGGTCTTAGTTATCTTAGTATCACTAGAACCTAGCATTGTGTCTGGTACATAGTCGGAGTCCAGAAAAGGAAGGAAGGAAGAAATAAGGGAGAGAGGGAAAGAAGAAAGGAAGATGGATAGATGGGTGAATGGATGGATGGGAGGAAAGGAAGAAAGAAGGAAAGGAAAAGAAAATTCTCTGGGGGTGCTCTGAATTCAAGGAGGAGTGACAAAAGCAGGTTGAGATTGGAAGTTGGGAGAGACTGAGCTGTTGGTCCAGGATGAGATGAAACATGCAAGGGTTGATAGACCCAGGGCGAGAGCAATTTGGGAGACATGAGGGAAGTACGGAGCCACTGAAGTTGGGTGGTTCAGGAAAACAAAGTTCAAAACATGGGTATTCTGCAGAGCCTGGGGCCTGCTGTCAGGATATGGACAGAGCTTGACATCTATTGAGCTGCTGTACCATTGGTCATGTAAAACAAACATGGTGGCCACCCTCATATCTGTTCTCAAGTCACCTCCACCTTCCCACAGCTTCCAGAAGGAAACCAGCAATTCCCTCCAGGGAGGTGTTTCTGGGGGTCAGACTGGTGGGAGTCAGGGGGGGAGAGGAGGACCCTTAGGGAAACAATGACCTCACTTCGGGGAGGCAGCCAAACAGTCACAAAGGTAAAAGCGAGTGGATGATAGGATACCCTTCTTGATCCTTGGCAGATGTGGGCACATCTACTTCAAGGAGTCCCCTTCTGAGTGGCCTGTGCCCGGACATCAAGATGGAATATAAAGGGATAAATATAACATTGCTATCCACATGCCCCACGTCATCCATTTGATAGCTATGCAACATGTGTTCATAACATTTTTCCCTCTAATTTAAATATATCACATTCTCAGTACAAAAAAATTGAAAAAAGCAGAAAAACACAAAGAAAACTAGTATTTTTTGCATTCTCCTTTTTTTCCACTTGGAACTATAAGAGGAGCATTTCTCTGCATCAAAAGATATCCTTTGGGGCCGGCCCGGTGGTGCACTGGATAAGTGCGCCGCTTGGGAAGCGTGGCGGTGCTCCCACCCAAGGGTTCGGATCCCACATGCAGACCGGTTCCCGCTCACTGGCTGAGCGAGGCGCGGGAGCAGCGCCGAGGGTTGCGATCCCGTTGCCGGTCCCGGTCCGGTACGGGGGCGACACTGAGGGTTGCGATCCGTTGCCGGACACGGAAAAAGACAAAAGACAAAAAAAAAAAAAAAAAAAAAAAGATATCCTTTGGGCCGGCCCGGTGGCGCACTGCTACAATGCGCCGCTTGGGAGCACGGCGGCGCTCCTGCCAAGGGCTCGGATCCCACATACAGACCGGTTCCCGCTCACTGGCTGAGCGAGGTATGGGCGCAACACCGAGGGTTGCGATCCTGTTGCCGGTCTCGGTCCAGTATGGGCGTGACACTGAGGGTTGCGATCCGTTGCCGGACATGAAAAAAAGACAAAAAAAAAAAGATATCCTTTATCAGTTTGATTTTTTTTTAACTTTTAATTTATCCTTTATCAGTTTGATTTTTTTTTAACTTTTAATTTTGAAATAATTTAAGACTTAAAGAAAAGTTGCAAAAATAGTACTAGAGTACCCATATACCCTTCATCCAGCTTCCCCTAATGTTAACGTCTGATATAACCATAGTACCATTAGCAAAGCCAGGAAATTAACATTGATACTATTACTATTAACTAAACTACAGACCTTATTCAGATTTTGCCAAGTGCACCACTAACATTTTTTTCCTAGTCCAGGATTGAATCCAAAATCCTACATCGTATTTACTTGTCATATCTCCTTAATCCTCTCCAATCTGACTCTTCCTTGGTCTTTTCTTTGTCTTTCATGACTTTGATACTTTCAAAGAATGCTGGGCAGTTATTTTGTAGACTGTCCCTCATTTGGATTTGTCTCTTGTTTTCTCATGACTAGATTGAGGTTATGACTTTTTGGCCAGAATACCACAGAAGTGATTCTGTGTCCTTCTCAATGTATCATATCAGGGGGTTCAGGGTGTCTATACGACTTATTAACTGGGGATGTTAACCTTGATCACTTGGTTAACGTGGCATGTGTTTGGTTTCCTCACCATAAAGCTGCTGTTTTTCAAGATAATTTTTTATTTTTTTTGGTGGCTGGCCAGTATGGAATCCGAACCCTTGATCTTGGTATTACCAATACTGTGCTCTGACCAACTGAGCTAACCTGCTGTCTTCTAGGAAACTTTTTTAATGGCTGTATGGCTTTTCATTAAAGATCTCTGACATAATCAGATCCTCTTTTTGTACATTTAGTATACTTTTTTTTTTTTTTACTGTTATAAATGTCGCAGTGGCCATTTCTGTTGGTTCATCTTTGCACATATCCCTGATTGTTTTGTTAGTAAAATTGCTGGAGCAAAAATAATTTATATTTTTAAGGTTATGGATGCCTGGTTCATGGTTATTTGTACTTTTTTTGTTTTAATCCTCTTTATTAAAGTATAATATAAATACAATAAAATGCACAGATTTGGAGAAATATTTCAATGAGTTTTGGTAAATGTTTGCACCCATGTAACTACCATCCCAATCAAGATGTAAAATATCTCTATCACCTCCCCAAATTCCCTGATGACCCCTTGCAGTCGGTCTCCCCAACCCTCATTCCAGACAACTACTGACCTGATTTCTATCACCTCGGGTTACTGTTACCTATTCTAGGACTTTATTCATATAAACCAGAATTATACAACACACACTCTTTTATGACTATCTTCTTTGATCTGACATAATATTGGTGAGATTCATCCATATTGCTGCATATATCAGCCATTTGTTGATCTTTATTGCTGAGTTGTATTTTATTGTATAAATATGTCACGATTTGTTTATCAATTCTTTCATTGATGGACATTTGGGCTGTTTCCAGCTTGGAGATTTTATGAATAAAGCTGCTAAGAACATTTGCGTACATGTGGACATATGTTTTCATTTCTCTCGGGTAGAAACCTCAGAGTGGAATTGCTGGGTTATAAAGTAGGTATATGTTTAACTTTATTAGACATGACAGGGTGTGATTATTTTCATCTCCATTTTATAGCACAGGTCACAGAAAGCTTGAGGGACTTGCCCAAGGGCAAAGGGAGGGAAATAGACTTTGTTGCCAGGCACAATAATAGGTGCTTTTCCTGTTCATCTCCCTTAATCCTCAAAGCAACCCCATAAGGTGGGAATTATGATTCCTGTTCTGTAGATTAGGAAACTGAGGCTCATGACCATGCAGCAAGATAGGATTCAAACCCAGTCCAGTATGAGTATCCAAGTCTGCTTCACCAGGTGTTCATCTTGCAACCTTGGAGACAGTCGAGGATGGAGCTGCGGAGGATGAACATCTCCCTGCTCTCAGAGTCATGGCCTGGACTTACCTGCACCCTGTGGCCATCCTGCCCATGCCCCTGTGATGCCTCAGTCGGCCCTCTAGAGACAAGGGTGATCTGGACGCAGGGGCAGGGACTGTGCCCCCACATTTGGCTTTGAGCCCTCCAAGCCACAGCAAGAACCAGAGGGTGACCCACACTCCAACCCTCTGCCAAAGGTGTAGAGTTTCTCACCCTGAAACACAATCCTGGCTATTTGATCTTCTGGGCTGGTGGGTGGCGGGCGAGGGCAGTGGGCAGGGGCCGCATCTCCTGGCCATATTGCGGCCCCATTAGGAGCTGGCCTGAGTGCTTTCCAGAGCTGATTAATGGCCTGCCTGTGACCTGGAATGTCATTACTGCCTGAGGCCAGTGCCCCCCAGCTTGGTCCTTTGGGTCTTTACTGCTAATAATAATTGATGCTTTCTGTGTGGTTGCAGGGAAAGTTCTATCTGGTCATCGAGGAGCTGAGCCAGCTGTTCCGGTCACTCGTCCCCATCCAGCTGTGGTACAAATACATCATGGGTGATGACTCCTCCAACAGCTACTTCCTGGGAGGGGTCCTGATCATTCTCTACAGCCTCTGCAAGGTGAGGTGGCCCCAGGGCTGGACAGCTGTCCTCAGGAAGGCCCTATTCACCAGCCAGGCCCAGGGGACTACTGGGGAACCTGGAATACCCAAACTAATTTCTTCTTTTTTTTTAAATCGAGATAAAATTTTAAGAACATGAAATTAACCACTAACCATTTTAAAAGCTATAATTCAGTGGCATTTAGCAGATTCACAGTGTCGTGCAACCACCACTGCTATCTAGTTCCAAGACATTTCATTATCTCAAAAAGAAACCCTGTACCTAATAAGCAGTCATTCCCCATTCCTCTCCCTTCTCTCCCCCCAGCCCCTGGCAACCACTAATCTGCTTTCTGTCTCTATGAATTTACCTATTCTGGATATTTCATATAAATGGAATTGTACAACATGTGACCTTTTGTGTCTGGCTTTTTTACTCAGTGTAATATATTTTAGGTTCATGCACATTGTGGCATGTCTCAGTACTTTTTATAGTGAATCTACCCTAATTTCTTGCTTGTGAAGCTTACCATATGCTATTCTTTCACATAGTCATCTCCATAACAACTCTTCAAGATACATACCATTATTATTACTCCCATTTTACAGGTTAGGAAACTGAGGCTCAGGGAGATGAAGTTACTGGCCCAAGGTTATTCAGACAGAGATAACAGAATAAGCATCAGACCCAGGCAGGCTGGCTCCAGAGCCCGGAGCTTTTAACCACGCTGCCACGGACTTTCTTTTCTGTCCCTCTTACCTCAGAAATATTATCCCTTTTAAATCGTACACCCTGAACATCTCAAATCAGCACACAGCACTTTTCATCATTAGTACAATCAGGTTTTTTTCCCCTAAAAATAAATATATCCTCCACTTTCTTTTTCCTTCTCTATTCAGGCTTTAGAGAATCCTGGGGGGATGAGTATGTTCTTCTCTTTCCTTCCTCCCAGCTGGACTAGCCAGACCATCCACACAGTGTCAGCCATTGGGCCTTCTCCTGCTTGCTGATTCTGATCGACTGTCAGTGGCCAACTGAGTGCTGGATGGAGAAGGATTATCAGCCCAGGCTGAGCTCAGAGGAAGAGTGCTGGGATTGATTAGCAATGCCTGTCCTGGGCATGGGAGGGGAAAGAGCAGTATGCGTGCCCTTTGTTTGCTATCCTAGCCTAGGTAGCAGGGGAGACTGCTGATATCAGGCAGCAAGACAAAAGCTAAGCCAAACCAATGGGAATGAGGAGTTCCAAACGGAAGAAGTGCCTTGAAAATGTTCTGAGTCAAAGACAGGGGTAGGGAGAGTGAAGGGGTGGGTTGGAAGGGGTAGGGAGGTTGTTCAGGGATAGTGGGAGATCCTGAACAACCTTGGATACCTTTCAGCCACCACCCTGTTCTTCTTTCAGTCATTCGACATCTGTGGCCGCGTGGGTGGAGTTAGGAAAGCCCTGAAGCTTCTGTGCACCTCTCAGGTGAGTTGGCTTTGGGTGGTCCCTACTGATGTCCCAGGAAGCAGGAGCCAGAAACAGCAGTGGCCCCTCCCTCACCCCACAGATCTCGCAGTGCTTCTGAGTGTCCATAGCTGTGTTTGTCTCTCCCCTCCCTCAAACAGAATTATGGAGTCCGAGCCACTGGGCAGCAGTGCACAGAAGCCGGTGATATCTGTGCCATCTGTCAGGCCGAGTTCCGAGAGCCTCTAATTCTCCTGTGCCAGGTGAGCAGGGCTCGGGCAGGTCCATCAGAAACTGAGGTGCTGGGACAGCAGGGCCCTGCCCCATGGAAAAGATGGAACAGTCTGTCCCATGACCAAATCTTGGGGCTCTGGCATGGGTCTTTGGGGGCAATGTGGTTGAGACTGGAGTCAGCCAGACCCATGCTCAAATCTCAGCTTTGCCTCTTACTAGCTGGGTGGCCTTGGCAGACTACTTCACTTCTCTGAGCCTCTGTTTTAGCGGTAAAATGTAGAAATGCCAAATTCAGTATGGCATAGCATCAGAATATCCTGAGTGTGAATTCCAGCAGCATTCTTGATCCAGGTGGGTCACTCTACCTCCCAGAGCCTTGGCTTTTTTCATGTATAAAATGGCCATAATAATAATACTTACTTCACCAAGCTATTATTACGATTAAATGGGATCATCTATGGAAAGAGCTAAACTTGAATTACTCAACCTTGGAAATTCCTAGTATTATAATTACAATCAGCCTTCCATATCCATAGGTTCCACATCTGTGGATTTAACCAACCATGAATAGAAAATACTACCCCCCCCAAAAAAAAACAATAAAAAAATACAGTGTAACACCTATCTACATAGCATTTACATTGTATTAGTATAAGTAATCTAGAGATGATTTAAAATACACAGGAGGATATGCATAGGTTATATGAAGATACTATGCCATTTTATATCAGGAACTTGAGCAACCTCAGATTTTGGTATCCACAGGGTCTTGGAACCAGTCTCCTGTGAATACCAAGGGATGACTATATTATTATCAGTATAGTTATTATTACCATCTGTTTTCATTATTAGTCATGGATCACCAACCCACGGCTGGTCCGTCCCTTTTAACTCCCTAAATGCGTTCCTCCTCCTCCTCCTCCTGACCTTAGGGGCTAGGTGTCAATTCAGCAAATGTGTATTGGGTCAAAGCATCCTATCAGACACTGGGGAGGAGAGGCACAGGGCACACAGATCCTGTCCCCTCCTCTGCAAGCTCATAGTCTCCTTGGGGAGACAGACACATACATAAATAACTATGAAACAAGGCAGGCGGTGATAAGTGCTGTGTAAGAGAGATTCATGCATCGTCCCAGGGGACCAGAACAGAGAGCGATGAATTCCAGGTTGGAGAGGCTTTTTGGAGGAGGCATAAGCTGGAGACCAGAAGTGATGGAAAGGCTTATGGACCCACCATCACCACTTCCAGGGGTGGGGGAACAGGAGGTGGGGTCCTTTTTTAGCATCAGCGAAATATTTTTTGTTATTGCTGTTTGGGACTTGCGGGTGGGGGGGGAGTAATTTTAATTGTTTATTTTTAAACTGGTAATATTTTTGCATGAATCAAAATTCAAAAGAAAAAAAAATAAAAAGACTAAGGAGACATGACGACTAAATGTAGTAAGGGATCTGGGTTGGATCCTGGAACAGAGAAAGGACATTAGGAGAAAAACTAGTTTGATGAAATCTGAATGAAGTCTGGAGTTCAGTTCATAGAAACATATCAATGTGGATTTCTTAGCTTTGACAAATGTGTCAGTCATGCAAGATGATCACACCAGGGGAAACTGAAACTGGGTGAGGGGTGTATGGGGATTTTCTGTTCTTTGCAACTTTTCTGTAAGCCTAAAATTATTCCAATTTAAAAAGTTTATTTAAAAAATTTTTTTGAAAGATATAAAAAGGAGGATGTAGGCCTAACACCTTGTCCCCCAGCTCCCGAATCCCCTGTTTACCCACACAGGCAACCATTGTTACCAGTTTCCTTGTATCTTTCCAGAGATGTTTTATAGAATTTAAACATATCGGGGCTGGCCCGGTGGCGCACTGCTACAGTGCACCGCTTGGGAAGCGCGGCGGCGCTCCCGCTGAGGGTTCGGATCCCACATACAGACCGGCTGCTCACTGGCTGAGTGAGGTGCGGGCGCAACACCAAGGGTTGCGATCCCGTTGCCGGTCCCAGTCCAGTACGGGCGCGACACTGAGGGTTGCGATCCATTGCCCATCACGAAAAAAAACAAAAAGGAAAAAATAAATAAATAAATAAATAAACATATTTATGTACACAAGGGTACTTCAAAAAGTTCATGGAAAGATTTGTATTATCTCTCAATTCTATTTTTCCATGAACTTTTTGAAGTACCCTTGTATATAAGCTCATGTGTATATATATATGTATATATGTGTGTGTGTATATGTATATATGTATACACACACACAAACATATCTTTTTTTAAAAAACATAACTTGTAGCATATTCTACTCAAGCTGCTTTCTCCACCTTTCACTTTTAACTTGAAACTCTGCCTTAGGGATTGCTCCTTATTCCATCGTATAGCTGCACAGCATGCCATTTTATGGATAGACCACAATTTGTTGAACCATTCTCCTATTGATAGACATTTAGTAGCTTATAATATTTGGTTATTACGAATATGGCTGGTACAAACAATCTGAAATGGGGAGATCAATCACACCTATCTGGGCCCATCGTGTTTGATTAAATGAGTTAATTCAAGTGAAGCATTTGGACCTGCACCTGGCACATGGTCAGGGTTCAATAAATATTCACTTTTAGGGGCATGCATTTCATTTCACACATGCACAAGCTCCCGGTAGGATAAATTCCTAGTGGTGGAATTCCGAGGTCAGAGGGTACACAGTTTTGACAGATGTTGCTAAATTGCCCTCTATAAAGAGTGTATCCACTTATGCTCCCAGTGAAGAGTAAGACACGGCCTCTTGCTCCCTCCCTCACCGACACACAGTGTTATCAAGCCTCTTTTGAGCTTTGCCAATCTGACAGGTGACAAACGCTATCTCCGTGCAGTTTTAATTTGCATTTCTCTAATTATGAGTGTGGTTGAGCATCTTTTCATTTGCTTCAGAGCCATCTGTATTTCCCTCTCAGTAGCAAGGATGATTTGAACATGATGTCAAGGTGAAAGTCTTTCTTCTTGTTTCCTGGCAATCTCCCTAAGCCTCAGTCTGTTGTCTCTCTTTCATTCTTCTCCTTGTACCACTATGTCTTCCCGCAAGTGGATTAGAAATTCTTAGGAGGAATCAGACAAGACACCATTATCCCAGATCTAGGAGTAACAGCCACACCCAGTTGTGTTTGAAGACCACAAACGTGACCAGGCAGAGCACACATCTCAGCCTTATTCTTCCCCTGTGAGCTGGGCCTGGAAAGGCAGAGATGGCTTGCACAGGTGAAGGGATCTTGTTGATTCCTAAATGCACTGAATGAATGAACAAATGAAGGAATCACTCAGCTTAAGTGTTATTTCCTCGATAAAGTCTTCCCTGGCTCTGCCTCCCCAGACTAGTCATGTTCCCAGCTATATGGTCAGAGATCCCTGTGTTTTAGTTCATTGGATTGTGTAAGATCTATCTCCTCTCTGCCAACTTACAAGCAAATTGAGAGTGGAGACCATGTCTGTCTTGTTTAGCAGCCGAGCCACAGTACTGACTTAGTAAATATTGGGTGGTTGGATGGATGGATGGATGGATGAATAGGATGGATATGGATGAGATGGATGGATGGATAAATGAATGCATAGGGTTATGGCCAGGTGGAGGAGTGGGTGGGTGAGTGCAAAGGTAAGTAGAAAGCGGCCAGTCTCCAAAAAAACAAAACAAAGGTTGGTGGATAGACGTATAAGTGGGTGGGTGACTGTGTGATGGGCACATGGCTGGATAGATTGGTGAGTAAATAGGTAGGTAGATGGGTAAATGAATGCATGCATGGGTGGAAGATGGATGGATGAACAGAAGGACAAATCGATGAGGGGATCGATAAAGAACCCACTAAGCTAAAGCAACATCCTTTCTCCCCTTAAAAGATTCATCAAACTAAGCCCAGTGTGTCACTGCTCCCCCACACACCCTTGCCCCCCGAGCTGGGGCCTAGGAAGCAGATTGCCAATTGAAGCTACTCAGGCAGCCACTGAGCAAGTCTCCGTGTTAGAACTCTTCTCAGACACAGCCCACTTGCCCAGGCAGTCACTCCACAGATATTTATGGTTTGCCTCCTGCAAGGCTGCAGGGGGTCAGGGAAAGGGCATTTAGAACACAAAGTCAGAAACTTGGTTTATTCCTTTGCCAAAGAAAACAGTGAGAGTACATTTAGAGAACAAAGTGCCCTCCAATCCTTGGTCACTATGCGTTTGGTTTTTTGTGTGTTGTATGATATAAAGAGGACAAGAGAACAGTAACTCCTATTTGATTTTGTGCTTTATAGGCCTTATCTGTTTCCATTCTTATAGAAACCTTGGAAGGGAAATAGTAGCCCCATTTTATAGAGAAGTAGATTTGGGCTCAGAAAGACAAAGAGATGGACATGCCCAAGGTCCTGCTGCTCCTCGGTAGCAGAATCAGGATTCAAACCCTGAGTCTCTCATGCCATCGGCCATGCCTTCCACAAGACTTGGCATCTTGCTTTGGGATGTCCTAAACACTGCATTAAGACTAGAGCACTTTTCCCGGAAATCTACGGGAATGTGCTAAGCCTGTGCACATTGCCTCTTCGGCTTAATGAATGACTGAGCTGGGATCGAGCTTTTAACACCTGCTTCTGACTCCTCCGTCCATTCATTTATGCATCAGGTAGTTATTGAGCACTGACAGCATCCCCAGCACTAACTATATAGTCCTCAGCAGCGCAGTTTATTGTGACACTGACCTTCCATATCATCTGTCACCCAAGAGTGAAAATGCTTGCCCTGGACAGCTTGCAGATTTTTTAATACAGTCATATTGAGATGATATGTATGGCTATGTATGGATTTTGAGTATCTTAGCATGTCATACAATAGTCAGTATTAGTGTTTAATTCTAAGTCTAGACATGGCTGGCTGGTTTGTGTGATTAAGGAGGATCTGGGGTTAGGGATGTGCATATATATATCCCCTGTATTGTAGAAGCCACATTTTCAATAATGTCATTCATAATCAAGTGCTTCAAACATCCCTTCCCACACTTTCCATGTGTGAACACTATACATAGTAGAACACCATGGGCAAGAGTTTTCACTAGGGAATCAGACACTTCTTGTATCAGTTATCAAATGCTGTGTAACAAATTACCCTGAAACTTAGTGGCTTAGGGCAACATATGTTTATGATCTCACAGTTTCCATGGATCAAGATCCAGGCATGGCTTAGTTGTGTCTTCTGCTTCAGGGTCTCTCATAAGCTGCATCAAGGTATTGGCCAGAGCTATGGTCATCTCCTGGGTCAACTGGGGAAGGAGCTGCTTCCAAACTCCATCATGTGGGTGTTGGCAGGATTCAGTTCCTCATGGGTTGTAGGACAAAGGGCTTGAGTTCCTTGCTGGCTATTGTGGCTGGAAGCTACCCCAAGTTCCTTGCCTAGTTGGCTTCATCAGAGCAAGCATGTGAGAAGCACGAGAGAGAGTGTGAGCAAGTTGGAAGTTACAGTCTTTTGTAACCTAATCTCGGAAGTGACATCCCATCACCTTTACTGTGTTATACTGGTTAGAATCAAGTCACTAGGTCCAGCCCTTACTCAAAGGGAGGGGACAAGGATGTGAATCCCAGGATGAGGGGATCACTGGGAGCCATAACAGAAATCTGCCCACCACATTCCCAAGGTTGAATTCCAGCCCCACCATTTAGCAGCTGTGTGCATTTGGGCACGTGGCTTCCCCTCTCTGAGTCTCACTGATCCATCTGTTTGCTGATATGAAACTGGGATGTGATAGTGCACATAAAGGACATTAGCAGTGCCTGGTCCAGTGTTCATATTGAATAAGGGGTAGGGGTCCTGATTATTACCTGTTCCCCTCCTCACCTTCATCCATCCACCTGGACCCAGGCCTGGATGCTTCCTTCTTTCTCAGCCCACACCAAACACCAAGCACCAGGTTAAGACATACCCTTCTGTCCCATTGAAAGCCTCTTCTCTCACACCGGGGCTGGCTCATGTGGTTGTGGGGACTCTGGTCCAAGCTCACATTTCTCCTGCCTTCTCTGAATCTTTTAGCAAAATGTGAGGAGTCTGGATGGGATTCAGGGTGAGGTTAGGGAGGTCGGTCAACCCCCAGGGCTCCTCGCCCAGCTCTGTGCACCAGGAGCAGAGCCAGGGAGCAGTTAACAATCCAGCACCACCTGCATCCCCCTTGACGTAAACCCACCAGATCCTACATGTCCCAGCCGGGAAAGGGCCCCTCCTTCCTCTCTCTCTGCAAGGGCTCATCCCTTTTTCCAGATGCTGGAGGGAATCCGAAGTCATGAACTCCTTAGCTGGGCCCCTGGGTGGACCTGGTTCTTCAAACCCCTTCATTTGGCACCAGATTCTGTCCCTCCCAATTCTCTGAGGAGGAGACTGTGAGCTCCTGGAGGGCAGGGACCAGGCCTTTGTCAGCCTGGTATCCCCAGATTCTGCACCTGATCTGCATTCATTTGTCACCTCCATTGACAGAGCCCCTGCTCTGTGCTGGCAAGGCTGGCAGTGGGAATACAGTAACAACAGCTGCTGCCGTCATGGGGTTTACCAGACCTAGAGGGTAGAGCAGATGTTGACTAAGCAATAAGAATAGTGGTTCTCAAAGCGTGGCCAGGGTACCCCTGGGGATCCCTCTCAGTGGGTCTAGGAGGTCAAAACTATTTTTATAATAATACTGACATCAGATGCCTTTTTCACTCTCATTCTTTCCAACTATGCAGTGGGGTTTTCCAGAAACTACACAACCTGAGATGAGGTCATTGCTGTGGTGGCTAATGGAATGTATGCTTGTGTGTTCTTATGTTTGAAATATGTCTCAATTTTTATTTCTAATATGGTAAGTATAGATAGATTTAACCCACATGAACTCTTTGGGGTTATCAGTCGTTTTTAAGAATGTAAAGGATTCTTGGGACCAAAATGTTTGAATTAGAAGTGTAAGAACCTCAGTGAATGTGTGTCAAATGAATAAATTTTAAAAACTACTCAATGTAGTGACCATTTCCCATTCACCTAACTCAAGTTTAGCTTCATGTGAACGGGGGTTGTGTTGCATTCTTCTATGTAAGTACCTCTTTTTCCCATGGTAACATGGTTAAGTCTCATTCATTCATTCAACAGACATTTACTAAGCATGTGAGCAAGAACCACACTCAGAATAAAACCTGATCCCTGCCATCAGAAAGCTCTTAATCTAGTGAATGAGATACACAAAATGGCAGATAATTCCAAAAGTGTGAACATTTTGCAGAGAATTCCAGGATGGTGTGAGAGAGGTCTTCACCAGGAGGAATACGGTAAAAGGGAAGATACGACCAGCACTTACATTTGCAGGAGACAGTAAAGGATGGGAATCGAGGAGACATCACAAAACAGGGAAGGTGTGATTGCTTAACCAAGTATTCTAAAAGAAGTAAGCATCTGCTTAGCTAAGGGTGAAGAAAGGGCATCCCAGGCAGATATCACAACCTGTACAAAGCCGTAAATAAGCCTTGTGTTGAAGGTCACTTGGCATATCACTGACATCAGGTACCCCTGGGTGATGAGGCTGAGGAGGGGAGAAGGGCGCCATCATAAAGGACCCTGGGTGCCATGGTGGGAATCTATAGAAGCTGCTGGGCCTGCTGACCCCCAGGGTCCTGCCCTTTAGACTGTGGTGAGGATCCGGTATGGTCTTCAGGGCTCTGCATAGACTGCTGTCCTCCTCTTCCCACTCCTCTACAGCCCCCTGTTACAGCTACATTGGCCATCCATCCTTGAGTGCACTAAATGCTATCCCATCTCAGGAGCTTTGCACATGAGGTTTCCTGCGGCCTGGAATTTTCTATTCCCACTCCCTCTCCTCACCCAGTTAATTCCTAAATATCCTTCAGGCTTCAACTCAAGTGTCCCCACCTCCAGGAAGCCTTCCTTGACTACCCCTGGATCAAACTAATCCCTCTCTTACACACCCCCATAGCACCATGGAGCTCTCCTGTAGAGCACTGTCTACAATTAAGCACCTACTGTACACCATGCTAGGGAATAAATGAGTTTACAAGAAGCTTACAGTCTGGCATGGAGAGACAGATAATAATAAATAGACATAGGACAATAGTAACTACTACTATAATAATAGCTAATACTTATAGAGCACTTACTGTTTGCCAGGCATTATTCTAAGCACTTTCTTTTTTATTTTATTTTTTTCACTTTTCAAGAAACATTTTGTTTAGGTTTTTTTTTTTAAAAAAGATGACCGGTAAGGGGATCTTAACCCTTGACTTGGTGTTGTCAGCACCACGCTCACCCAGTGAGCTAACCGGCCATCCCTATATGGGATCCGAACCCGTGGCCTTGGTGTTATCAGCACCACACTCTCCCGAGTGAGCCACAGGCCAGCCCCTTGTTTAGGTTTTTATATTACCATTTTCCTCCAACTTTTTATTTTGAAAACTTTCAAACCTACAGAAAAGTTGAAGGATAGTAGGATGAACACCCTTCTAGATTCACTAATTTACTAATCATTTTACCACATTACCTAGATCCACTAATCATTTTACCGCATTTGCCTTTTCTTGATATAAAAATTTTTCCCTAAAACAGCTGAATGTTGCACGTTTTGATTCTTCATCCCTAAATACTTCAGTGTGTATCTCCCAAGAATAGGACATACTGTCCCATAACCACAATTCCACTAGCATGCCCAGGAAATATAAAACTGATGTAAAATATTATCTATTATATGGTAATATATTCAAATTACTCCAGTTGCCTTCGAAATGTCCTTTATAGCTAGGGTTTTTCTCCCATCTAGGATCCAATCAAGAACTATGTATTCAATTGGTTGTCATGTCTAGGTACTTTAACATATTAGTAAATATTCCTATGAGGAGGGTACTATCCCCATTTTACAGATGAGGAAACTGAGGCTCAGGAAGGTTAAGTCACTTGTCCAAATTATACAGCCAGAGAGTGGTGAACTTGTTGGTCTTTCAAGGCTCCCTGTCTTTCTCTTGACCTCTGTGTTCTATTCTCAAATAGCAAGCAGCAAAGGGATTTTTTAAAACTGGAAATCATATCAGGTCACTCCTCTACTCAAAGCCCTGCCATGGCTCCCTACTTCTCTAAGAGTAAAAACCAAAGTCCTGACAATGGCCAACAAGGCCCTACATGATCTGCATCCCTCCCCCTATAATTGCCTCTCTGACCTCATCTCTCCCTCTCTCATCCCCCCCTGCCCCACCTTCTGGCTCAGCCACACTCTCCTTGCTGTTTCTCAAGCACACCAGGCACATTCCTGCCTCAGGACCTTTGCACATGCTGTCCCCTCTGCCAGGAGTGCTGTCCTTCAGATTTTACCCAAATGTCAGCATTCAGTGAAGTTTTCCCAGGCCACAGTGTTTCACATCACAACCCTCCCAAGCGCCCCCTATCTGCCTCTCCCTGCCTTTCCATCTCAGTGCTTACTACTGATATATTCCATATTTTAGAGATTCCTGTTGTCAGTTGTCTCCCCAACTAGAGTACAAGCTCCACGAGGACAGGAATTGTCTGTTTTGTTCGCTGCTGTCTCCAGCTCCTAGGACTGAGGCAGATGCTCAGTAAAGAGTCCTCAGTCCTGCTAATTGCTGTTCCCGCAGCACGTGTTCTGTGAGGAGTGCCTCTGCCTGTGGCTGGATCGTGAGCGCACCTGCCCACTCTGCCGCTCGGTTGCTGTGGATACCCTGCGCTGCTGGAAGGATGGGGCCACCTCGGCACATTTCCAGGTGTATTAGGGCTAAACACTGAGGACACACGGGAGATGTTGGAAAGTGAGTGTTCCTGGATCCATCCATGGGGGCTTCCTGGAAAAAAGCCTCAAGCACTGACATCCTGCCTCCTGCCGTCCAGCACCTCCGACCCCAAAGCCAGGCCCCTGTTCCCCTGACCTTCACCTTCCTCTCTTGTTCTTTGTGCAGTGTGTGCGCCCTTCCACTATGAATAGGGAAGTCCTCCAGACTCAGACTTGATCTTCTCCCAGGTAGTTCTTCCATTTCCCCTCCAAGTCAAGGAACTGGTAATTTGTGAAGTTCCCACCTGCTGGTTATTTTAACCGAGCACTAGTACTCAGTACTTGATGCTGCAAACTCCGGAAGAGCCTGGAGATAACTCCCTCCCCCAAAGAGCCCAGGTCTGCAGATTAAAACCACTGTGAAGTGTTTTGAAAATACAAATGCTGGGCCCCACCCTATACCTGTTCAGGTTGAGTATCCTCTATCTGAAATGCCTGGGACTAGAAGTGTTTCAGATTTTGGATTTCTTCGGATTTTGGAAGATTTGCATTACACTTACTGGTTGAACATCCCTTATCTGAAATTCCAAAATCCGAAATGCTCCAATGAGCATTTTCTTTGAGCATGACCTGTGAACATATTCCCCCTTCCCTGCTCAATTTTTGGATGTTGGAGCATTTCAGATTTCGGATTCCCAGATTAGGGGCGCTCAACCTGTAATAACTTAATGTACCAAACACGTAGTGTGTACCAGGCACAGCATTGAGAACCCTGTTTGGATTACCTCCTGTTGTCCTCACAACGGCCCTATGATGGAGGTACTGTTGATTCCCCCATTTTACAGGTGAGGAAACTGAGGCACAGAGCTTGGTGTGGCAACTTTTCCAGGGTCACCCAGCTAGCAATGGCAGATGGAGTTTCTAACACTGGCTTGGTCTGGCTTCAGAGTCTGCACACCGTGCTGGTGTGCTGCTCAGACACTCCAGGCATGGGGCCCAGCAGACATGGTTTGTTAAAAGCACAAGAGGTGATTCGATACCCATTCCTGGTTGAGAACCAGTGGCCCAGCTGCATAGCTTATTCAACACAAACTGCATTGATAATACAGTGAATGCTAGCTCCTGAAATCTGCTATTTGTGTCCAGAGAAAGACTTGGCCCTTAAAATTGTTATTCTCCTGGTCTCTGGCTGGGATGCTTAATCCCATTTGGGTATCAAGAAATGTAAACTTTGGCCCAGATGTGGGTGCCACCTGGTCCCCCATCTTTATTTCTCTTCTCCTCCTTCTATTCTGTCCCCCTCACTTAAGTCTCAGGCCTGTCAACAGCTCCTGTGGACATTGCCATCTCCCCTGGTAGCCTTCAGAGTAAAAGGGATTATCCATGTTATGGATTTTTCCATGCGCCAGCATGGTCACATAGGGCAGTGTAGCAACTGTGTTTTTGTAATCTCTGTAACAGCTACTTCTCCACCAATGGAACTCTCCGCTTTGAAATCTGGGATGAGATGGCACAAGTGACCACATCAAAGCCCCTGGAATCTTGCCTACCCAACCCCTCTCCCAACTCTGTTCTCTTATTGTCAACCTCAGCACAATGGTCTGGCACCGGCGATATGACAGAGAAAGCAATCTCTGTGGCTGGTGAGCAGATTAGCATGCAACCCCTGGGAGAAATAGGGGAGCCTTGCTGCCAACTCAGCCAGCCAGTATTAACATGTCCTCTCCCCCCCCCCCCCCCCCCCATCAAAGCCCCTGGAATCTTGCCTACCCAACCCCTCTCCCAACTCTGTTCTCTTATTGTCAACCTCAGCACAATGGTCTGGCACCGGCGATATGACAGAGAAAGCAATCTCTGTGGCTGGTGAGCAGATTAGCATGCAACCCCTGGGAGAAATAGGGGAGCCTTGCTGCCAACTCAGCCAGCCAGTATTAACATGTCCTCTCCCCCCCCCCCGCCCCCAACAATAGATTTGGGGCATTTGCCCCTGTGTGCCAGTAAGCCAGGACTTTTTCTTTGCTTGACATCCCTGGCTCTTTCCTGGTACCCAGCAAAACATCGCTTCCAGGGCAGCATGGCATCTTTCAAGCTCTGTTACTATGGCAATGGCCATGATGTTACAATCCCACTTGTCTGGATAATCAAGTAGGAAGGAGAAGCAGAAGGAGACAGAGCCGGTGGATGTGGCTGCTCCATTTCCCCCGCCTCAAGGAAGAACTGAAGGGAAGCAACAGGAACTTCTGCCACTGGCTTTTTATTTTTTGTGTTTTGGTTCTTTATTTTTTGTTTTGTTTTGGTGGCTGGCTGGTGCAGGGTTCCGAACCCTTAACCTAGAATTGTAACACCGAGCTCTACCCAATTGAGCTAACCAGCCAGCCCATGGAACTGGTTTTTACCAGAAAGATCTCCCTGCCTGCAGATGCCATCAAAGATGCATGAGAAATTGGAGCTAGAGAAGACTTATAAGGTACTGGTGTGTGATGGAGCAGGTGACAAAACCTAGTATATTATCTACTAAAACCAAGGGAACTAATAATGTAGCATATTGATGAATATGTCAATGATTTTGCCAATTATACCCATGTCACCAAAAAAAAAGAATGCTCTAACATTATGCAAATAATAAGCCATGCCTCTAATACTATAAAGAATGTCACATGTGGGGGACACTCGGGGGAGGGTGGGATGGTTTAGTTTAGGATTTTATTTATTCATTCCCTACCCTTAGGGAACCTCCCATCTGGAGGTTTTCTTCTGGGTAGGAGGATTTAACTTCAGCCTTAGGGGGGAACAGTGGCTAATGCAGAGTTTTCCAACACTGGTGTAAATGCAGCCAAGAGTCCCCACTGGAAAGAAAAACACCACTCTCCTTTACCCAGCTTGGCTCTGCAACTCCTTTGTTATAAACAGGATTAATCAAGTATCGGGTTCAGAGTATCCTGCTCTTAATATTTGATGATTCACTGACTCAAGTTCCACGGAGTCCTTAGACATTGTCTTCTTAAGGTAAACGATCTTGAGAGTAATAAATATGAAGTAATAAGAAAGGCAAACTTTGTACCTGGTTTATCACCTTCAAAAGAGAAGAACGTGCAGAGCATTAGGGAGACATCCAGACTGCCAGGATATGGGCCTGAAAGGAGGAAATGTAAAGCAAGTGCCAGAATCTTCTAGTACTTTTGCTCTGGGACAGACAGCTGCCGTTGGTGTTTTTAATGTCTCTCTAAGTACTTTTCTGCCAATAAATATCATCTGTTGAGCAACTTATGTTCATGGTCTTGATTCTACTCTTGAGGCCATGTGGAACTGTTTTAGGTCAAATGAGAAGAAGCAGTTCGTGGAGGGCATGGTTCTCTTCTGTGGGTTTCCCCAAGGCAGATCCTGCCAAGGTGCACATGATTTATTAAGGAAGTGCTCCCAGAAGAAACCAGCGAGGGAAGGAGTGAAACAGAACAAGAAAGGGAAGAAGCCAAGCTAGAGGGAGACTTCAGGTGAAGTGCCAGCCTCAGCCTGATCCTGCAGAGAGCTCTGGAGCAGAAGGTGCATCTCAGAGTATGGCCCAACCCGTGGTTATTGTACTCACAGAAACACACCAGTCTGTCGTAGGTCTGGGTTGATGGGGGGACCTCCCAGGCGCTTCAGGCTTTCTACAAAAGGAGGCCCCAGTTGGCCAAGGGCAAACCTAGGAAGGTCTCAGGTGTCAGCAAGGCACACAAAGCTGCAGGATGGGAACACAGAACTGGTGAAAGAGATCCAAAAGGACCTGGGTGGGGCACTGCAGTGACTCCTACAGGGGTTAACTATAGGTGGTGTGGACCCAGACGTGGAGGCTGATTGAAGAAGGGTTTGATATCTGGATGTTCTGGATGCCAGATTATGATGGGTATTTAAATGCAAATTAATAGCATTAGGTGACAATTCATACCTCTTGGGGCAACTTTATGATGCCAGCCATGAAAACCTCAGTAGGCAGAACTTTTTGGCTGCCATTGTTAGAAAACTGACTCAAATATGGCTTACATAAAAGGACTTTATTTGGTTTGTGTAATAGTATGGGCTTCAGGTACAGCTGGATTCAGAGGCTCCAATGGTGATATAGAATCATGTCTCTCTATCCTTCAATTCTGTTTTCTTGAGACAGTTTGATTTTCAGGCAGTTGGATCCCATGTGGTGGTAAGTTGGCCCCAGAAGCTCTGCTTATATTCTACCAGCTTAACAACCCCAGCAAAGAGAGCTTCCACATCCTCAAAGCTTCCAGCAGGAGTCCTAAGGCAGACTCATTCATTTGTCCCCAAACCAATTACATTAGCCTGTGGGATATAGAACAATGGCGAGTTCTGGGTCAAGTGTTGAGCCTGGGAGGGGGGATTGAAGTGGGTGGGGAGGATGGAGTTAGCCCCTCTAAGTCCCATGGACTGAGAGGAGGGAAGGAGTGGGTCTCCAAAGGAAAAGAGGTCTGGTATCTTAAAAAACTACCTGTCCCCAACCCACCATTCTTAGGAAGAAACTAGAACCTTGTCTCTTGGTATGTCTCAGACCAGATAAATGCAGGTAAAAGTACCCAACCCAGAGTGGCCTGTTTGCCTATAGTTAGAGACATCAGTTTGCAGGCTCATTAGTTTATCCCCATGATGCCATGCATAAATTATAGTTTTGTTCACTGACCTTGAACTGTTGGGCAAGTTCCCCAAACCTGTTGCCCAACCCAAGGGTACTGTTTAGGCGAACCCTTCCCTTGGGGAGTTCTTAGGAGTTAGAGAAGGGAGGTAAGTATGTGGCCTTTTGCTCCGGGGGTGGTTGGGGTGTGCAGGATCCAGGGCAGGGATTCTCTCTCTATTGTGCAGCCAGACACTCCCACAGTCTTTGAGGACCTTTCAAAAAGAAATGAAAACACAAAGGCCTTTGGCTAGAAGTGCACAATCAATTTTTTAATAAAGTCATTACAAATATGTACAAAGCGTCTCCAAGGTATGAAATTCCTCTTACAAAAGAGCACAATGAACCAACAACGTCAGAACCCAGAACGGAATGTCCCCAAGCTTATTGCCCCTCCGGCTGGGCCAGAGGCCTCACTGAGGTTCCAGATACCCTTGCAGCCAACCCTACCATGCACACAGGCTCCTTGGCGCTTATAGTGCAAAAGACCTTTGGGGTTGGGGGGGAATTCATGAGTGTAGGAGGGGAAAGGGGGCAGGGAGGAGGTAAGAAAATCTTCCCATGTCCTAGGAAATAAGTCGGACAGGCCCTGTTTCATATTAAATGCTCCCCCCTGTGACTTTATAGAAACCAGGAACACAAAGGGTAGGGAATGAACACATAAAATCCGCAACTAAGCCATCCAAACTGCCCTTGAGTGTCCCCAGATGTGACTCTCTTTCCAATGGACCTAAGACTGGATCCCCAGCTCCCTGCTGGGCCACACGCATGTGCTTGGCCTTGAACTAGCAGTGCTGTGAGGTCACTTCATGAAGGGATCCACTATAGCACAGCTGTCAGTTCATGGCTTGGGGGTCACACAAACTTGAGTCCAAATCTTGCCTCAGCCTTTTCCCCAGTTATGTGGCCTTAGGCTGAGTTGCTTAACTTCTCTGAGCTTCAGCTTCCTCAGCTGTGAAATGGGAATAATAACAGTACTATCTGCTAGAGGGGGCATGAGGAATCACTGAGGGGAAGATGTGTAAAGCACTTTGCACAGTGCTCAGGAATGGCGAGCACTCCATAAACGGCAGCTTTGATTATCGTGCAGAGCATCAAGGATCAGTCTTTTCATGCTGAAAATGAGTCGAAATTGCAGGCTTTTTAATCGCCTTCAGCTGATAGTGTGGCGTTCAGTAAATACTATATGACAATCTGCCACCAAGGTTTGGGGTCCCTGTGGTGACCTGACAAATCTGTTAAAATTGTGAACCAGACTGGAAAGGGACATTTCACATCGTCTGGTTCCAAGCAGGGCTGCCCCTCCATGATCAATAAGTAAGTCTCTTTGGAGATGGAATTCTACAATCTGGCACACATTGTAGATGCTCAATAAATATGTATGGAATGAATGAACTGACATTTTGAAAATAAACTTTCAGTGTAAGCTTTAAAATGACACTTTGATATCAACTTCCTCCCTCCATGGAGCTGCCAATCAGCTCTCATGAGACTAGACAGGGTGTCTAACCTGTCCCACTTCCTCTCTTACCAACTTCTGACCCCCCAATTGCCCCAGGCTGACTTAAGGGAACATCCAGA